TACAGACACAATCTGATCATACTCTCTTTGTGAAGAGGAGAGGATTTTTGGCAGTTTACCTGATTGTGTATGTTGATGATATTGTTGTGACTGGTAATGATGTYWCARRRATTAATGATCTCAAATCTTTYCTTCATACAGAGTTTGAGATCAAAGATTTGGGGGAATTGAGATACTTCCTTGGCATAGAAGTTGCTAGATCCAAGGATGAGATTCTTATCTCTCAGAGGAAGTATGCTCTTGATTTGCTCTCTGAAACAGGGAAGATGGGTGCTAGACTAGTTGCTGCTCCTATTGATATGAGTCATAAACTCTCTGCTTCAGATGGAATATTGTTAGAAGACAAAAGAATCTTCCAGAGACTCCTTGGAAAACTTCTTTATCTATGCATGACTCGGCCAGACATTGCATATGCTGTCAGTTGCATCAGCCAATTCATGCATGCTCCCCGGGATACTCATATGGTAGCAACAGAGCGAATCCTGTGTTATTTGAAGGGCTCCCCTGGAAAGGGAATAATGTTTGCCAAGCATGGCCATATGAAACTTGAAGCCTATACAGGTGCTGACTGGGCTGGAAACATTGATGACAGAAGATCTACTTTTGGGTACTACAGCTTGGTGGCAGGTAATATTGTCTCTTGGAGAAGCAAGAAACAATCTGTTGTTGCTCGATCTTCAGCAGAAGTAGAATACAGAGCCATGACACATGGAGTTTCTGAACTATTGTGGTTAAAATCATTGATGGAGGAACTGAGGATTGAGCATGATAAGCCAATGATGTTATATTGTGATAATCGGGCTGCCATCAACATTGCTCACAACCCAATACAACATGACAGAACTAAGCATATTGAAGTTGACAGACACTTCATTCGAGAAAAAGTGGCTTCTGGTGAAGTATGTCTACCTTTCATCACCTCTGAAGGAYAGTTAGCAKATTTYCTCACCAAGGGCATTCCCAAGGCTAAACTTCAGCATGATACTGGCAAGCTTGGCATGATTGACATCTATGCTCAGCTTGAGGGGGAGTGTAGAGAAGATGGGCCGAATGACCCATAGGCTGTTTATCCTTTTTTATCTTTTATGTTCTTTGCTGTAATGGGCCTTATTCTGGGCCTATTCTTTCTATGTTATGTTCTTTTAATTTCTTGCCCAACTAAGGGCCTCTTTGTAAATTATCAAAGTTTAACTTAATAAAATTGTGTTAGGGGTGTAAGAGTAGAGATGAAGGTTCAAAACTCTCTTACTCTGAACCCTTATTGCCGCCATCTTCTTCTTCATCTTCTCTTCCTTAAAAGAATGATTTTTGTTGTTTTATTTTGATTTCTGCATCTATTCTAAACAGTCCTTTATTCTCAAAAGACTATTTTTCTTCTAAAGCAATAATTTGTTAATCCGGTTCCTTAGCAAGCTTATAAGAGATGACTTAACATCTAACTGAATTTACAACCATGTTTATAAGCGTCACAGCGTACAAATAATATCATTCTACTGATTCTTTTCTTTCACTTATATCAGGTAGAACCAAGTTTGGTTCATTTATATTTGAATTTGTATCAATTCAGAATTTCAGGTTGTAATTGGATATTGAATAGAATTAATAAATTAAACTAAAAACTAACAAAGTATCATACATAATTAATAAAATGACTTTGATATTGTAGATCATGAACAAAACATATAAGCATATACATTGAAATCAAATTGAATCAGATTATATTTGATTGAATAGGGGTAGATCCATATTCAATCTAATTATAAATTGATCAAATTTGGATCACCCTTAACTGGATCAAATTTGAATTCGAATTGGAATAAATAGATACCATTTACATTCCTATTTGGCCTGTCCTTGGTCAATACACATCCCCCAAATCACCTGATCTCTGACTCTAACCATTGAATATGAAAAGTCTTCCATAATGTAGTCAGAAGCAATGCTGTAATTAGGAGCTTTAAGAACACTGTATAGTCGTTTTGTCAGCAAGTTAAATTTACACACCAGAATAGAATGGCGAGGCAGGATTCATGTAGCCGACCCCATATAGTTAGGATAAGGGCTGTTCATGACCATGCAGTGGGGCAAGCATCTGCACGCCAGTGTTCCAATAGCAGTTCATCTGTTGGGAATTATTGACCAGGGTGATTTCTGACGTGTTTATTTATTGAGGATTGGGAAGATATGTTCATGAGGCTAGTTTGCCCAAAAGCAAGAAATATGACAGCAAAACAAACTGCAGACAGAAAGGCCCTTGTGCTTATGATACTTGCCTCCAAGTTTATGCAAAGAGATATGAAAATATAATAGAGCAAACTGAAAGTAAATTCAAGAACTACCTGTTCCCTTATTTTGCAGACCACCATCCTGAAGTCTGGTCTCTCAATGAGTCTCCCTCTAAATTCACTACATATTGGATCATCAAAAGAGCTATACCTGTGATTCATTGGCTCCTGAAATTCCAAAGATGCTTCTTGTTCAGAAAATATAATACAAGACCAAAAAAAAAAAGAATAATGCTCTTTTCTATCTGCAATATGGGCATATGATACTACAAAACAAGCATCTAAGGGTTGTTTCACTGTTTGCAAGACTTTGTATTTTATGCAAAGAAAGTCAAATGCTCTCTTGCTAATTTGACCTTTACTTATTTACTCAAAAAGTTAGGGTTCCTTGTACAAAAAGTAGTTTTAACTTGCATGACAGGCATCCATTTTAGGAAAAGCTTCAAATCCAAATTATCAGTTCTCACACTTTTCAGCCTAAGATATTACCAGTTCACTAAGCAATATCCCCTAGTTAAAACCCACCTAAGAACCAAACATTTAGAACCTTGGCCAGGATGCACATGGAAGCAAAACAAGTAGGCTGGAATCTAGCCATAGCAGGGGTTGTAAACAGTTGCAAAAGACCTCTTGTCAGAGTGGGTCAATATCTGACCCATTCATAAATTTGGGTCCCAGTCAGATTCTAAAGGAAACCACATTTATGGTGGAATCCAGATCAACCCAGATGCATTTCAGATCTATACTGGACCCGGTCCATTAAAAATATAGGCCCTCTAATGATACTGTTACGAAATTATAGGCTGTAAATATGTAGTATTAGCCCAATTAGGAATAGCTTGATTATAGGAATTATTCTTTCTTTGATTTTCTTCCTATTTTAGTATCTACAAGGCTGTATATATATGTACTACTTTCTCAATAGAAAGAAATCAATTTCTTCCAATTCTTGTTCTATCACATGGTATCAGAGCTGGAGACACCAATTCCAGTCTGAAACTAATTTCTGGTTTTCTTCCCTCTACTGCCCCAGTGAGCAGCAGCTGCGATCTCTAGGTCACCCATTCCGAGTGGCATCTGCATCTCACCGCCCCTACCAGTGGAAGCGGAATCCCAGATCGACCTACCCACCATCACCCATCTCTTCTTCACTTCGATTGGGAGAGGGGTTTCAAGTCTGCAACAGGTCGGAGAGTAGCACAACAGCCTCGGTGTTACTCCTGTGGTGTTTGTTTACCCATCAGGAAAATCTTTCTTCTCTGTTCTTTTTATACAGTTGATATTTCGGTGCTGCCAGTTGTGGTTTCTTGTTGTTTGGGTGTTGCATTTGTTGCCGATTCTGTTTAAGTGTGTTTTATTAGCTTTGCTGGTTGTTAAAAGTTTATTTTCCTGTGTTTATGATGGCGGTTGAACAAAAGAACTTGGCTATGCCTAGTGTTATCCCCATTCTGTCTAAGATCACTGAACAAAAACTAAACGGAATTAATTATTTAGACTAGAGTAAGACTGTTCGTTTGTATTTACAGAGTATCTCTAAGGACAACCATCTGACTAAGGACCCTCCTACTAATGAGACCCGCACTGAATGGCTAAGGATTGACGCTCAATTGTTTTTGCAAATCCGCAATTCTATTGA